GTTTCCTCCATATTTATGTACTTCTCAGCTCGGGTAAGAAGCTCGGTGACTGTCTTCGGCGGAGTTTTGGATAAGGACATCTTGAAAGCCTCGCACTTTATGGCATATGTGAGGGCAGAAACTGCTGCAGTTATGTGTAGGTCGGGAATCTGAAGTCTTTCCTTGTTGAACCTGGTCATGAAGTCACGTAGGGTCTCATTTTGCCCTTGTCTAAGTTGCATGAGGGAAGCTGCTGTCTTCCTGATGCGTTTGCTGCTTGCGAAGAAAGCGGAGAACTTGTCCGCCAAATCCGAGAATGAGGCTATGGAGTTGGACTCTAAGGTCGAGAACCAATCCCTAGCAGCATTCGTCAAAGTTTGCGGGAAGGCCTTGCACATCACCTGATCTGGTGCAACCTGTAGATTCATGACGTCCGTGTAGATGTTCAGATGATTGATTGGATCGGTGGTCCCATCATATTTTTTGATCCTAGGATACTTAAATCTGTCTGGCAAGGGGAATGTTAATATCTCGAAAGTAAATGGAGTGTTGGGACTGAATCTTGTCGTCCCTTTGTTGCCCTGAAGTAGGCCCGCCGTAATTCCTTCTTGAATAATCCTAGCGAGTTCCCCGAACTCCATGGTCACTGATCTCGAGGCCGAGGTCACATGTGGTATACCCGAGGCCCCTGCTCCGCCATTGTCAGGGACATGTGCTCGAGCTCGAGCATCGGCCATAAAACCCCCCTGGGGTGCTGGTGTAGGTGACGGATGCGAATTTCTTTGACTTAGCAGCGGAGTCAGTGTGGCGACCTGTTGTCTAAGCTCTTCAAAGGCTCCAGCAGTGACGACTGCCAGCTGGGGCTCTGGCACTTCTGATGATTCCTCTTGAGGAACAAGGATATCCTCAGGAGGGGGTTGGTTTGGAGCGGATGAGCTTGCTGGTGGAAGACCTGAACGTGTGTTTACCATGGCTTTTGGTAGCGTTTCTCACAGACGGCGCCAATGATGCTACCAAAAATCGTACCTGCAGATTTTCCGAGCTTGATGATTGAAAAGGAGCACGAACGTGATCTTCCGATACCTGAAACAAAGGCAACGAGGTGTGTTCTCGTTGCCCCTCCGGTGCTTAAGTCAGAAAGGGAAATATAAGCGTGAGGCTATGTGCTGAAGAACAATGTAAAACGTACCCGAATAATGGTTCAAGGTTCTGTATTTATAGTAGTAAGTGACATTCTCCTAATTGGACTCAACTAGCTGGATGTCCCATCTGTTGGAGTCCTGAATGGTTAAGGAGTTGGTTGAATTCCAGAATTATACGTGAGATAGGATTCTTGTGGGAGTTAAGATTCCTAATTGCGTAGGAATTCTAAAGGGTTAACAATCGTCAGTAGTGAGGGGGAGCACATTCCCGAGGACTATGCTCGAGGACATATGTTTGCAATATGCGAAGCAGCATGGAGTTGTGGTCGGGCCTAGTGTCTCGAGGATGAACATGCTCGAGGACACCGCAGATGGATTTACAACTTTATCAAAATTAGTCCTCGGGATATACTGATCGAGGATATTGGAAAATGTCACCATCACCATCTAAACACGAGGATCATTTTTATTTTGTACAATATAATATTACTTGAAAATAAACTATAAAAATCAAATAGAGGATATCTAACACATCTCATCAGATAAATATTTTGAAATAATGTGCAATCCATTGTTCATAGTCCATTGGAGATGCTCTCATATTCCACCATTCCGGCCTATGTCAACACAACATAAAGTACTTCCTTTCAAATTCCAGAAATTAATGTCCTCTAAATCTGTTTCCACCTCTCCATTTATTACACCTCCGTTTGTACTCTGCACTACGAAATGTAAACAGATGAATTCATGAATCTGCACACATATTATTACAGTTGACTATTTTTGAGTGGTGGGATGATGAAAGATTTGATCTTTTTTTTTTTTTTTTTTTTTTTTTTTTTTTTTTTTTTTTTTTTTTTTTTTTTTTTTTTTTGTGTGTGTGTGGGTCCTGTTGGTAGCGATGCTGATTTTGTTTCTTGTACACTAGTAGCATTGTACATATATGCAATGATTTCTTTCGTTTTATTTTTTTTTAAGCTTATTGCCAATTAATTTGGGTGTCTGCAAGCTCTAACTTGGCTTTCATTCGCATAAACAGACTAATGACTGTATAGTCGATGTCTTCTGCACGGCTTCTGAGAATTCTTCCGGGTAAAACTTGAACCTTCTGCATAAGCTTGAAAATTTACCCTCGATTATTGTCTTTTTGCTGGTGATAAATGGTTATTGTTATTTATATCCGTCATTTTTGAAGTTAGTTCTAGATTAGCAAAACCATCCATAGTTGCAGTAGGGAATATAAATTTAAGCTGTTGAAGTGAGATAAATTTGTCTCCTGTTCTTTATTTTTTCCGCGCACTACTCTTAATATCCCTCAATTTATTTCTGACCAATTATATCTTTGTGAAATCAAACAAATCTAAATGCTTTTGTTGCCTGCAATGAGAAGTCAAAATCCACCTGCTGATAACGAATCTGTATTTTGCTATTCAACTCGTCTCTGAGCATGCTTTTAAACCATTTGAATACAACAACAATGTCTTTGACACAGGTGAACCTACGGCGGCCATGAAGGAAAAAGCAATAGATGAACTTTGGAAAGGTAAACTTGTGGAAAATTATGCCAAGTACGATGAAAATGAAAGTACAATTTCTCCAACAATGGAAGACCAAAAGAGGTTCTCCAATAATGATCATGATAGTGCTACAGATCCCTTGATTTCTGATATGACAGATGAAGAAAATTTACCGAATAGATCAGAACTTGAATGTTCTTCGAAAGCTGAAGATTTTATCCACGGAAATGAAAACGAACCCAAAAATTCTGCTGTATCGTCTACTTCTGCTTTAGATTTGTTTGAGACAGACACAAATGTGTATACTGATAAAAATATAACAGAATGTGAATTACCTGAGTTGGTAATGAGCTCTAAGGAGGTTAATTATCACATTGTCAAGGACATATGTGTTGATGACGGGACTTCAAAAGAGGAGATGACGGCAGGAGGTGGATTAACAGGTTCGTGTTTGGAATATACCAAAGACGTTGCTGTTAATGAATGTGGAACAGATGAAGGAGAAGATGGAAAATCAGTCGTTCCAATCGGGCCAAAATCTGCCTCGGAAATTTCTTTTGACAAGGATACCCCTGGAGAAAGTGATCCAAGAGACTCCATCAAGGCAGGTGTAATGCAGGGTGATGTAACTAGCGAGGTCAAGAGTGATCTTTCAGAAAAAGGGTCTTTCGTAAATAACATGCTTCCTATGCAAGAATTTGGTAGTCAGAGTTTCCATAGATCTTTTGTCAACTCTATAAACGGTGAGGAAAATGATGTTTCGCAACCTCTTGATCAGGTTCGTGCCAAATCTTCATTGATTCCATATAATGTATTTTATCTTCATAAACAATTAAAAATGATGGTTGAGATGTTGCTTTTAAAAATGCTTCCTAATCCATGAAGTTAACACCGGCTTTAATTGGTTGCTCAGCAGATTCCTTCTGGTGAAGCAAGTGAAAAGGTCCAATCTAGCAACTTATCTTACAACAGTAAAATGGAGTCCGAAAACATTACTTTCAACCTCAACTCACCTAAACCTGCAGCAGCTTGCAGCGCGAATGAGAGTATTGACACTGTCAATGAGCAATCTATCGAGTCCAGGGATGTGCATTATCACAAGGATGTGAACTCCGATAATCTTTCAGACACTAGCCCGGTTCAGTGCGCTAGCATTAAGAACGAAAGTACTGGAAATGTTCGTGAACAACGTTTGAAGGATGAGAACCATGATAATTCTGCTGCCACTTGCAGCAAGGATGGCATGGGCATCGAAAATCTTGAAAAATCCCCAGACCACAAGGATATGAGATCTGAAGAGCAGTCTCTAGGCCAAGTCCTCTATGCTGGTCACAGGGACAAAACTACCAGAAATGCTCATGATCAAGCCCTTGAGATGATAAATACTTCTAAGCATGTGGATGGGAATCTGAAAGCTCAATGGGATGAAGGAGAGTCGAGCTTCTCTGCAGGAGATCATGTAACTTACTCGGGGCCAATACCTTTCTCCGGGAGCCTTTCTCTTCGATCCGAGAGCAGTGCTGCCACCAGCACCCGATCTTTCGCCTTCCCAGTGTAAACTTTTTCCTCTATATATCCGTTTAGTTTTCCCTGTTATAAGGATGTTTAATGATTCGCTAACAACATAGTTCTTTTGTCTCCAGATTACAACCCGAATCGAACGCCAGTCCTGTAAGAATGGTAAAATCAGATAGACGACAATTTCGTAAACACAAGGATTGGAGATCAGGCCTCCTTTGTTGTAGATTCTAAATGTTTCTATTTCATTTATAGGTTCTTAGTCTAGATATACATGAGCAAAATCTTTATTAAAACGAGGAGTAATATTTAAGTATACATGTCGATATTTTTCTTAGGTTTCGTTTGCCTTACGAGTAGCTTCTTGTAAGTCATAGGTTGATGTGTGATCTGAGTTCGTGAGAGGTTCGAATATTGTCCGTGTACAAGTTTTTATTTTGATTTTTATACAGCATATTTATTCATTGGTTATATTATTTTCTGATTTATGTGCACATGGTTCTTAGTTTGTTGAATTGCACTTGCAAATTGTCGTTAACTATCTTAATCAGTTTGCAGCCATAGTGACTTCAACTGAAGCAAATATGAAGCTGGCTGATTTGATTAAGACATTTTAAAGTAGGATGAAAATACATTTGTTGGTTCGATCAAGCTACACACAGATGGATGCTACAAAGGCAACAAAACCATCAGGAGCTGTGAAATAACTAACCATGGTTAAGTAATGATAAAGAAGTAGAATTAGCTGTCGCTGGAAATTGTAGGCCCCAATATCCTTTTGTGCATATCCTAAAGGAGCTTTCATTTGTGTATGATTTTACACCTAATTGTACATCACTTTGGTATATCATGGATGGTATTCTATGATGTTTAAAAATCGGGGCAATCGATTAAGTGTTGTTAAAACTAATGGTAAAAAACTGTACATCACATCATGGAGCGTAAACAAAATTGACAATCATAGGTGTAGCAAAACTGTTTGAACAATGTTACTTGTACATAAGAAGATTCTAAAAATTTTACAGATAGATGAGGTATCAAAAAAAGATTGGAAGATTTTTTTTCTTATTTAGCTTTGATATCATATCTTATCACAATATGTATATGTAAACCAATATGTAAGTAGAAATTCACATGTAGCACAATTGAAACTGTTTTGCGCGCTCCAATATTTAGGTCGTGCATAACACATACATGCAAAATGTGTTTCTAGTTCCACCTAAATCTATAACAAAAATTTTATCTAAGGTGATAATTAGTCAAGAAACCAATTTGTTATTAGGGACTAAGTTGAGAATCGATTATGAAATTTCATTTTTCTCCTTTATCGATTTCATTCACTTGCCGAAAAAATTGAAAGATTATGATATATATAATAGAAACCTTACTAGTAGTAGTAATGATGTATAGCATCTAACTTTGATCGAATTATTAGTCATATAATAAAGAATTAGAGCACGACCTAAATTCAAATATATTGCTGTCGTTCCAAGTAAAATTGAAAATTTTCAGGTTCTTTTACTAGTTAATTGTTACAAAATAAAAGCTAAGAAAATTGGAAGTAGACATAGCAAACCTTCCATTTTTGCGAGTTCGAGATTAGTTCTCAACCCATGTTAATGTGGAGAACTTCAATAGATGTCAAGACTGAACAACAGCATAATCAATTTAGAGATTTTGAATAGACTGAATAATATTTTCAAACACTAAACTTTGAGATTGTCACGCACCTACATGTACAGTATGGTCATACATTGTACATGACGAAAGCTTGCAGCTTTATAGTTCTCAATTTGCACAAAAAAAATCTTAAAAGCTATATAAATTTTAAATAATTCTGTTCAAATGCATACATCATGCATATAAAATGCCACCGTCGCACTCTCTCTACATTCCTACGCCCTATTCTTTCTCTTTTTCTCTCACGGTCTTACCAAAGTAGAGACAACCTTAAACACCTAATCAGTAATTTCTCATAATTTCCTCAGGATCTTCAATGATCATGGCTGTTTTTGCAGTGCTTTTTATGATTTTTTTAGGCATGGCTGTTCGTTCTGGTAAGTTCTTGCTTTTTTCTAGTCATTTTTAAAAACTTTTTGGGGGCCCCATTTAGGGGTTTTGCATCATTCTAACAAGCCCAATAAAGGGGGATTTCAACTGTATGATATTTCTTCAAAAATTGAGGAGTAAGAGTATGTCTGGTTGTGCCCAATAATGACTTATTTTTTGGCTTTTTGGCCTTTCAATTTTTTTGCAGATGCTACTTATTGCATATGTAATGATGGATTGAGTGATCCTGTTCTTCAAAGTAACATTGATTATGCTTGTGGTACTGGAGCTGATTGTACTCCAATTCTTCAGAGTGGACCTTGTTATCAGCCAAACACGGTAAAAGACCACTGTAATTATGCAGTAAATAGCTATTACCAGAGGAAAGGCCAAGTTGCTGGGAGCTGTAATTTCTCAGACACTGCCACTGTCACTCAGAATTCCCCTTGTAAGTATCAAACTGTGCACTAGAGGGGTTTTACTTGTGTGTGAAATACTGATTTATTATTATTATTTTTTTAATACCATTTACAGCTGCAGCTCCTGGATGTGTGTATCCATCTAGTCCCAGGTGTGTAAAATCTTAAAACCCCTTGAAAATTCCATATTAGCAATATTTTGCCTCTAGAAAATGAAACTTAATGGCAAAAAGTTTTTTTTTTTTTTTTTTTTTTCTTTTACCTTTAAACATTTTTAAATTCCTTTTAAAAACTCGACGAGTACGGGAGCTAGAAAGGATAATTGAGGTTGAACTTCTTGAAAGAGAGTGATTCTTGGATGGGTTTTTGGTATTTTTCTGACCCGGTTCACAATTGAACTGGTCACGCACGCATTGGAAGCTTCTAGCACATGCATCTTCTTGGATTTACTATAGGGTTTGGCAGATGATAGAGTCGATAATTATAAAATAACTCGTCATTAATTATTATATCAAGAAGGTAAATATGGGTTTGAGAGGCAGGACAAAATGGATGCAGATAGGTTGTTGGCTTTAAGTAAAATATTGAGATTTTTTGCTGAATTGGAAAAGGATAATGGACCCAACTGTATTCGAAAGTCAAATTAAATGAATTTGTTCCAAGTTCAGCCCTTAATCATCAATATATAATTACGCTCCAATGAGCTGTCATGAAGTCGATGTGTAAACATATAGCTTTGTCTCATATTATGTCATATTTAGTTACATTTTATCATTTGAATATGCTACTTTATAGATATAATCGACCTTAAATCAGGTTTTTCTTTAATTTGCGTAGCAATGGCGGACCAAGCCCGACCCCATTCACTCCTGGAGGAAATCCAAACGCAAGTGGCAACCCCACTGTTCCTTTTCCAGGGTCAAACACACCTCCGAGTGTCAACCTTGGGCCAAACGGGAATGGCATAGACAACGAAGCTAGTGCGCCAATGATTCATAGCACTATTTTACTTGTGTCCTTCCTAATTCATTTGGTTTCACTTTTGATGTCCGCAAGGATCTAAGCGCACTTTTGATACGGAGAATTGACTAGCACAAGACGTTAGAAGCTAGTGCGCCACTGATTCATGGCACTATTTAACTTTTGTCCTTCTTGATTCTTTTGGTTTCACTTTTGATGTCCGCAATGATCTAAGCACACTTTTGATACGGAGAATTGACTAGCACAAGACGTTAGAAGCTAGTGCGTCATTGATTCATAGCAATATTTAACTTGTGTCCTTCCTTATTATTTTGGTTTCACTTTTGATGTCCGCAAGGATCTAAGTGCACTTTTTATACGGAGAATTGATGGGCACAAGACGATAAACAAAATTTTTAATGTCATTTTTTTCTTAATTATGTCTAGTCCGCACTCTCTAATCAAACTTGTCAATTGGCTCAAGGTTTTAGCATAAAGAAGACAACTACGCATACATCACCGACCCACCAACCTACAAATAATCAAATCCGTTTTGGTATGTGCCGGTTAATGCTAAGATAAATTTGGTGCCTGATAATTTTTAATTTTGTTTTTTTGTTTAATAGTTAAATGGGAGTGTTTTCACTTCACGTATCGAAACTCTTTGAAAGCTCTCAGCAAAGTTTCAAAAACTCAAGAAAATGTTTTCTAATATTTTTCTATATTGTAATTAAATTTGAAAACTTTTAGAAAACTTACCAAAATATTTAGAAATTTTGATTAAGAATTGCATCTCGTTGTGGGTTTCATTACGGGATTTCAACGTGTTGCTAATGATTATAAATTATTTTTAAATGGTCAAATCACTTTTTCTCCACACATTAAAACGTTACTTTCATCATTCAAGTGAACAATTTTGCAATATTTATTAACTGCAGTGACTAAATTTACTCTTAAACTATGCTTGCTTTGATTCATTCGTACTTGTTAACACGTTATGGGGTATACATCTGTTTGGAGAGTATCGAAGATCATCAAAATCAAAGGAATGTTGTCGATGTTTATTGTAGCTGTTGGTATCCGTGTGGATTCATCAGGACATAGAAAATAATCCTGGCTTTGTAGAAGAATGTTTAGAAAGAAAACGAGGTTAAGAGATAATGAAGTAATGATCAAATACATACAAAAAAGCAAACGTAGATGTGGACTTTGTCAGTTTTATGTTTAATTTAGTGGTCAAGTGGTTAGTTATCACCACATCTGTAATGTCCCCTTATTTTGGTATTTGTTAACTGTTGATTTAGTCTTCCTGCCACGTTATAGGAGTTGTAAAACGTGGGCTATGTTTATGTTTATTTCAATTTTCTTTGTAAGGCTATTTAATAGCCAAGTCTGTTATTCAATGAGAGTGTCTCTAATTTCACCCATCTATGTTTTTCTTTTCATTCTATATTCTCTTACAATTGGTATCAGAATCTCATAACAGGGGCCGGATTAAATAGAAGCAGTAGTCTTCTACGAGTTACCTACAAATGACGACAGAGAATTCGTTTGTACACCCAGCTGTTACAAAGTTTGATGGGTATTATGATCATTGGGCGATGCTCATGGAGAACTTCTTGCATTTAAAGGAGTATTGGGAGTTGGTGGAAAATGGAGTTCCTGCATCAGCAAAAGGTGTTGTTCTCACTGATGCACAGAGGAAGCATATTGAAGACCAGCAATTGAAAGACGTGAAAGCAAAGAACTATCTATTTTAGGCATTAGATCGTTCCATCCTAGAGACAATCCTTAACAAGAATACTTCGAAGGATATATGGGATTCTATAAAGCAGAAACATCAAGGTACATTACGAGTAAAGCGTGCAAATCTGCAAGCTCTTCGAAAGGAGTTCGAGGTTCTTCATATGAAGGCAGGAGGATTTGTGAATGAGTATTTTTCTCGTACTCTTACCATCGCCAACAAGATGAAAGCAAATGGTGAGGATAAGGGTAATATTGCTATTGTTGAGAAAAAAATTACGATCCATGGCACCTACGTTTGATTATGTTGTAAGTTCTGTTGAGAAATCCAAAGATATTGATGCTCTAACCATTGATGAACTGCAAAGTAGCCTACTTGTGCATGAACAGCGCATGAGTTCCTATGTTGAGGAAGAACAGGTCCTGCAGATTACTCATGGTGATCACTCAAGAGGAAGAGGTTGTGGTCGTGCAAACTATAGAGGAAGATGAAGAGAAAGAGGAAGAGGTGTCTTTTGATAAAGCCACAGTGGAATGCTATAACTGTCACAAGCTAGAACATTTTGCATGGGAATGTCCAAGCAAAGAAACAGAGGCAAATTATGCAGGGAATCAAGAAGAGATGCTGTTGATGACATAAATGGATCTGAACAAAGCTAGTAGAGAAGATATATGGTTTTTAGACTCTGGATGCAGCAACCATATGTGTGGAAAGGAGTATTTCTCGGATCTTGATGTGAATTTTTGAGATTCTGTAAAGCTTGGCAACAATGCAAGCATAGTGGTTCTAGGAAAAGAAATGTTAGGCTGCAAATGAATGGCTTAACTCGAATTATTACAAGTGTATTCTATGTACCTGAGCTGAAGAACAATCTTCTAAGTATTGGACAGCTGTAGGAAAAAGGTCTTTCTATTTTATTTCAGCATGGCAATTGTAAGGTGTTCCATTCACAGAAAGGTTTGATTGTGGATTTGAAAATGTCCTCAAATCGAATGTTTATCTTGCATGCTTTATCTCAGCCTACAGTATCCACTTGATCATAGAAGATATTGTGCAGCTTTAGCATTGTCGGTATGGACATTTGAGTTTTAATGGTTTAAAGACTCTTCAGCAAAAGCAAATGGTAAAAGGATTACCACGACTTCAACCTCCCTCCAAATTATGCAAGGACTGCTTGGTAGGGAAACAACACAGGGATTCATTTCCAAAGTACCAGGCAAGCTGTAGAGATTCTTTATTTAGTGCATGCAGACATTTGTGGACCCATTAAACCCATCTCTAAAAGCAACAGAAGTTACCTCTTTACCTTCACTGATGATTTTAGTGGAAAAACATGGGTTTATTTTTTGGTAGAGAAATCAGAAGCCTTTACTGTTTTCAAGAAGTTTAAGACTCATGTTGAGAAGGAAACTAGTTCTTTTTTGAAAAGCCTATAAACAGATCGAGGAGGTGAGTTTACATCCCAGGAATTTGTAACCTTCTGTGATGTAAATGGCATACGATGACAGCTGACGGCTGCATATATACCACAACAGAATGGCGTTGAGGAACGAAAGAATAGAACTACCATGAATATGGTTCGAAGTACGCTGGCAGCAAAGAAAATTCATATGACTTTTTGGCCTGAAGCAGTAAATTGGACGGTGCATGTTCTGAATAGAAGTCCAACTTTCACAGTTCAAAACAAGACTCCGAAAGAAGCTTGGCGTAAAGTTAAGCCTTTAGTTTATTATTTTAGAGTTTTTGAATGCATTTCTCATGTTCATATTCTTGACAATAAAAGAATTAAGCTAGATGACAAGAGCTTCAGTTGTGTTTTGCTGGGAGTTAGTAAAGAATCAAAGGCTTGCAAGCTTTATGATCCACTTTCGCAAAAGATTATTATGAGTAGAGATGTTGTGTTCGAAGAAGACAAGCACTGGGATTGGGATAAGAAGTATGAAGGTGCTGTTGAATCAGATTCTCAACTTGCGATAGGGAATCGTGTAGCCAAAACAGATTCTCAACCTGCAGCAAGAAATCACAGACCACCTGTCAGGATGAGAAATTATGAAATTGGAGAAGGTCTTTCCGATGAAGAAAATGAAGTTTAGCTTGCCATGTTTACAGTTGCTGATCCTATTTATTTTAAAGAAGCTGTAAAAAGTGAGAAATGGAGGACAACTATGGATGTGGAAATGGGAGCAATAAAGAAAAATGGTACTTGGGAATTAACAGAATTACCTAAGGGAGGAAAGACAATTGGAGTAAAGTGGGTTTAAAAGACCAAGCTAAATGAAAATGGAGAAATAGTTTAGTACAAAGCTCGACTTGCAGCAAAAGGTTACACACAGCAATATGGGGGTGGACTATACTGAAGTTTTTGCGCCTATGGCACGTATGGAGACAATCCACTTGGTGATTGCATTTGCAGCCCAAAGAGGGTGATCCATTTATCAATTGGATGTAAAATCTGCATTCTTACATGGTGAGTTAAATGAAGAAGCCTTTTTAAAGCAACCTCATGGTTATGTGCAAAAAGGAAATGAGCAAAAAGTTTATAAGCTAAATAAGGCACTTTATGGGTTTAAGCAAGCACCCCCATGCTTGGTATAGTCGCATAGAAGCATATTTCATGAAGGAAATGTTTGAAAAGTGTGAATACGAACATACTCTATTCATCAAAACTAACGAGGAAGGTAAAGTTTTGATAGTAAGTTTTTATGTCGATGATCTAATCTTTACTGGAAATGATGAATCAATGATTACAAAATTTAAGCATTCAATGAAGCATGAGTTTAATATGACTGATCTTAGTAAAATGAGGTACTTCCTTGGTCTTGAAGTGTTGCAAAAATCTGATGGTATTTTTGTTAACTAGAAAAAATATACCTCTGAGGTACTACACAGGTTTGGAATGGATGAAAGTAATTCTGTTTTTAATCCCATTGTTCCTGGTTGCAAGCTTATGAAGTATGGAGGAGGAGATAAAGTGGACAAGATGTACTATAAGCAGATTGAAGGAAGTCTCATGTACCTCATAGCTACTCGACCAGATTTAACGTTAATAATAAGCATTATTAGTAGGTATATGGAAAATCCTACTAAACTACATCTACAGATAGCAAAAATGGTGTTGCGTTATTTAAAAAGAACAAGTGATGTTGGGATTTTTTTATAGAAATTGAGGAGATGATGAACTTGTTGCATACACTAATAGTGACTATGCTGGTGATTTAGAAGATACAAAGAGTACATCAGGCTATGTCTTTCTGTTAAGTTCAGGTGCAATTTCTTGGTCATAAAAAAAACAACTAGTGGTGAGTCTATCTACCACAGAGGCAAAATTCATTGCTGCAACTTCTTGTGCATGTCAGGTAGTATGGCTAAAAAGAGCTTTGGGAAAACTAGATCAAAATCAAAAGCAAATCATGTGTAATTCAATGTGATAACAGCTCTGCAATCAAGCTTTCGAGAAATCCTGTAATGCATCGTCGAAGCAACCACATAGATGTTCGTTTTCATTTTCTTCGACATCTAACAAAGGATGGTATTGTGGAGTTGTGCACTGTGATACACAAGATCAATTGGCTGATATAATGACTAAGCCACTCAAGCCGAACACCTTTGCAAAGCTGCGAGAACAATTGGGAATTTGTTTTGAGAATGATGTAAACTGAAGCTCAGCCTTCAATTTAAGGGAGGAAATGTTAGTTTTATGTTTAATTTAGTGGTCAAGTGGTTAGACACCACCACATCTGTAATGTCCCCTTATTTTGGTATTTGTTAATTGTTGATTTAGTCTTCCTGTTGCATTATGAGAGTTGTAAAATGTGGGCTATGTTTATGTTTATTTCAGTTTTATTTGTAAGGTTGTTTAATAGCCAAGTTTGTTATTCAATGAAGGTGTGTTTCTGATTTCCTCCATCTCCTTTATTTTTCTTTTCATTCTTGAGTATTTTTCTGAAAAAACTATTCATGGTAAAATGGTTCTGGTTTAAAGAATCTTGCATGGTTTTTCACTTTTTCTTGTTCGTTTTTCATTGATATCTTAGGTTTTATGTATTTCTATTGGGAAATACCAAATGGAACTGGCAAAGAATGCAATTTTTTCCTTCAAGTTGGAAATTGAACTCTGCTGAAAACTCTTGAATCTGCACAAAGATTCACATTAACCAAATAAAAAAAGAGTTGAAGAGAAAATAATGCATAAAACAAAAACCGGTCGCAAAATGGAGAAGTGCTACATGAATTTTGTGCTAATACAAGATATCTATTGAACTAGTCATATTGTAAGATTCATGGCATTTTTTGTTAAAGCACAGGTGTCGTTATATGATCGTAGCAATTATTGAATTTGACATCAAAGATGAAAGACGTCGTAGGTTAGAATTCTCACAAAAGTGTTTGATAGTTAAAAAAATTGATTTTGTTAGACCTTTTAACAAATGAAGAGCATAATCCATTGATGTAGGAAACAAAAACTCAGGTTGGTTTCAAACATTAGTAAGGGCCTGATTGTGTCCTTTTATTTTCAAAAAAATGTATTATAGAATAGTGATTGATGTTGAAATGTATGGTTAAAAAAGATAGAAAAATTTTGATTTATTTATAATATTATTTTAATGAAGAATATGTGGTTGAAAATAAATACTATCAGAAAAATAATGTGGTAGAATGATTGACAAACAAAAGCTAAATTGCATGTACGAACTCTTAAGCCAAAAGAAATTATTATTAAAAGAAAAAATAAGAAATAATGTTTGTACGAGTTGAGTTCATTTTATTATATTATCAACTAGATTTTTGTAGAGGCTGTGGAAAAGATGTTGGTGGTGCTTTTGACTTCAAATTAAAAGATTACTAGGTCGAACGTGAGAGTTGACTCCGTGGCCCAATGGATAAGGCGCTGGTCTACGGAACCAGAGATTCTGGGTTCGATCCCCAGCGGAGTCGTCTCTCTTTTCTTTTCTTTTCTTTTTTTTTTAACTTGTCAATTCTACCTATATGAAAATTTTGCCTTTCTTGGGTCGGCTTTTTTAACTCGATTGAATGTATTGAACCCTATAGCAATAAAGACCAAATAAAATAGATTCATGATTCATGCTACCAAAAGTCGCACCTGTTATTTCTCGAGCTTGATGACTGAGCTTGACCACGAGCAAGATCTTCCAATACCTGAAACTAAGGGATCGAGGTGTGTTCTCGTCACTCCTTTGATGCTTAAGTCGGAGAGAGGATTTATGCGTGACGTTATGAACTAGAAAATAATGAAAAACGTACTTGAATAATGAGCTTCGATCATATATTTATAGATGTCATTGGTAGAGTTATAGGAGGATTCAACCTCTTGTAATTCTTATCCATATCCTGCAAGGTGTGTGTGTTATATTCAAAGTGTCCAATTTGAGTTTGGATCTGACTGTGATAAGTTAATAATATGGATAAGGGTCACGGGGAATTGTAGTCGAAGCAGGAGTAACGTTTTCTAGAAAGCAGGGAATGAGTTACGTTAAATGACTTATGGCCCGACCTGAACGGTGGGGGACATACGAAATCCTAAGGTCGGGTTCGGGTCTAAGTGATTTTGTGTCATCAATGGTAATTATTATATTCAGTTGAGTTTAGTACTACATATCAAAAAGCACTGAAGCACCAAGACAAAGGAGTTAAACAAATTATAAACTGATTACAATTTTAGTTAGACTAGCATGTTTGTGGTGGCTTATGCTTAAAAGTAAGCACCAAAGTAAAACTAATCTTAAATGTGAATCCACTTACAATCAAAATGAACCAAATAAGTCATAAGCCGCCCCAAACATGTATGCCACAGCAAAATGAAATGCTGCTTTGCATCATTTTGAATCTTTGATATATACACTGCCCAAGTATATCAAGCGATAATCAGTACTACTACGTATCAAAGATTCACTAGATCTTTGCATTCACATTCCCCAAAAGTGTCTAAAACTTTCTGTGTCTTTTTGTGGAACATCCTCAAAAACTTGAGAACTAGTTAATTTACATACAGGGTCCCTTCCAGGAGAAAGAAGAATTAAAAATAAAAATAAAAATAGAAAATCCACTAAGCTATTTGAATGACGACTTGCGCACCGCCATTACAATAGGGAAGAAGAGTTGGGGTTCACGACAATATGTTTGAGCGGGTGGTCGACATCACTGCCTCCTGCATGCTTGACAAACTCGGCTGGTGAGAGGAAACTGCCGTGACATATGCACATTATCCTCACTTCTTCTCCTTTTCCGTATTTGTACAATATTCCGTCCACTCTTCTACCATTAAGACCATCTCCTTCTGTAAAAACGTAAGGCATATCTTGCATCATGTTCATTCCAGTTTCTTTTCCACGATTTCTTGAAATATCCTGTCTTTTGGATGGACTCTCCATATTGGATCCAGTCTTTCTGCTGGGATTTTCTCTCGTTTTTGTTCCAAAAGAGCCAACATTCTGATGGCTTCCTTCTTGCATAGACTGAATGCTGGCGGGGCTATGTTCGCCACCACTACTGGATCCTGCAATGTAAATGGAATAACATTCAAAACAGAAACTGTCTGAAGACAAATTAGAGAAAACTATACGGAGGTATCTTCCACAAGGTATAGTACCTAATCATTAGCTGGTAGCATTCGTAATGATATCAAAATTATACAATATGTTGATACTGAACTTTAAGTAATAATGCTGCTAAGCACGTTAGTAAGCCAATGAAAAATCAGGCCAAACAGCACATTTACCAATCAAAAAAAAATCAGGCCAAACTGCTGTTGAATCAAATTCTTTTGAATCCCGCCAAGTTTATCCCCTGTAACTAGCTAGCTCACGAACCAGATCTTATCCTCTAGTACATCAGACTTTTCAGCAACGGGGTTTCTTGCTACTTTATCATGAACTGACTCGATAAATACGTACCAATGTATCATTTAATAGATTCGCCACTGCTTGGGTATGTTCAATGTTTATGTTAAACTTCTGGAGGCATAAAATATGTTCCTTATCCACTTAAGAAATGGTTGCAATCGATTGACTCAATAGGTGTAACCACTTTAAAGGGAGGACCAAAGTGTTGGGAAATAGAAATATACTGTATCAGCAGTACATATTTATGTACAACTTCAATTGTTAAAGAGATTAATATTATAAGCCCACCCAAACATGCTCTTAAGTCTAGTTCCGGCTGGGTAAATAGTTTTCACCCTTCTGTTTTTACTTTCCTAAAACATCCAACAAAATCAAACTTCTTCCAACCACACACCACTTCTAGCTTTGGCGTATCTCTATCTCTTGCAACCTTTTTCTACTACAACCACATAGTAATCATGGTATTTCTTTAGGTCTAAGCATTACATGCCCCAGCTATCTAATATGTCATTCCATTAATTATCCTCAAATGGTGTCACCTCAAGTAGTCAGCACATTTCTTGTTTTATTTGTTTAACATGGATGCGCATCAGTCTTAACATCCTTAATTTGGTTTCTGTTATCTTACAGAGACTATTCTCGTCTCAGCCCGTAAGGTATATATAGTTACTCTCTAGTAAATGTTTTACAGAACTTTTCTTTAAGCTTGTAGTAGAGTATCTTCCAATCACGTAGAACCATAACAACACTTGTTAATTTCATCAAATCTGCTCCAGTCCTGTGCATTATGTATTTTTCTTCATTCTGAATTATTAATAATCAAACTCAAGTATCTAATGCAATCTCTCTTAAGTGCAACATAATCCTTCTTAGTCCAAAAAATTATTGAGGACTCGGAGACAACACATTGTGACCATTATCAAGCATTTACATGAAATAGAATTAATCCCATATCCCTAGTGGCAGGATAAAAACTTCACAATGCTGATGCGATGCGAAAATCTCAAAAATTTTATCAGATCAAGAATGTTTTATGAAAACACGAAAACTATAGATCCTTATATTTTGGGGATAAAAATAAAAAATAAAATAAAATAAATTATTCAAGATTATACCTTGAAGAGTTCTATTATCCAATTCTGACAAAGTTGAAGAACTCCCAACTTTCGACTCAACTGATCCTTGCGACGCCAATTGGCTACACTCAACTTCAGAACGAAAATGCGCCTGACTAGCGGCTGTCGTAGACAACAGAAATGGCGGTGCTATCACCGAATCTAACTTCTTCGATGCAGCTAAAAACTTCTCTTTATCCAATCTCTCCCTCAAATTCACCTCAATTTCCCTTCTCTCCTCCAAACTCAAACTCCCGGCGGCTGCGAGACCATCTTCGCCCCCGCCTTCTTTATCACCCTTAACATTCTTCTGCTTCTCAGACCTCCTCCTCTTAGCCTCCATTCTTCTCAACATCTGCAACTCCTTCCTCTTCTTCCACTCCTCCTCAGTCTCCGCCGGCAATGAAGAGGTCCTCGCCAGCCCCGAATGCGCTACCGGCGGCGCCACCACATCATTTTCATCTCTCGCCATCGGTAAACACTCTGCTATAGAAGAAGATCTCGTCAACTTCTTGAAACCCTTGTCCACACCAAATCTTCCCCCCAATGACAACCCAAGATTCAATTCGATCTCCTCTTCTTCCTTAATTTCTTCGCATTCACTGCTACTACCCATAAATCTCTGCAACAAATCTCTTGAAGAAGATCTGTTTGTCGAAACCCCCGAATGAAAATTCTGCATTTGTGCTGTTCTTACAATCTTTTTCCTATCATCATCGTCCTCCATTTAGCCCCACAAATTAACTCCTTCCAAGATACTATAATGACATCCAGCTCAACTATAAGAATATGTACATGCATGTTTAAGAACTCCAATATTTGATCTACACAATACCAGATGAAAATTTCTGAATTCTAACTGCATCTTAATTCCTAGGCGCTCCAATAATGGATTTTAAATACAATCAAAGCGAGATTTGAGAGTAAGAACTCCACTTCAGATGATTATCTTAAA